GGTTTGCTCCTTCTACTGCTGACCCGTCGCTGTTTCTGCGCACCGACACTTCACTGCCGCCGTTCTACATCCTCGTGTACGTCGTCGACTTGGTCTTTGCCACAGCGGACACTGCTGGACTCGCCTACGTGAAGTCCGAGCTGCTGAAGAGACACACGTGCACAGACCTGGGTGAACTGCGCAACTACCTTGGCTTGCAGATCACTCGGGACAGAGCACGCCGCACCATTACCTTGACTCAGTCACACATGGTGCAGCAGGTCCTTCAGCGCTTCGGCTTCACGTACTCCTCGCCTCAGGCCACTCCTCTGTCTACCCGCCACTCGCTCTCAGCTCTGCCTTCGGATGAGTCCGTAGAGTCGAGTGGCCCGTACCCAGAGCTTGTTGGCTGCCTCATGTACCTCATGACCTGCACACGACCTGACCTTGCATACCCTCTGAGCATTCTTGCACGCTATGTTGCTCCTGGGAGACACGGACTAGAGCACATGGCTGCAGCAAAGAGGGTATTGCGCTACCTGTGCAGTACGTCGGGCATGGGGCTAGTGCTTGGAGGGCGGAGTCCAGTGGTCCTTACAGGTCACGCGGACGCTTCTTGGGCTGACGACCAGGCTACGCAGCGGTCGTCACAGGGTTACACCTTCAGCCTTGGTTCCGGCTCTGTCTCGTGGCGAGCTACTCGTTCGTCTTCGGTTCTCAGCTCCAGTTGTGAGGCTGAGATCTACGCAGGGGCCATGGCTGCACAGGAGCTTCGCTGGCTCACCTACCTGTTGACTGACCTTGGAGAGCCGCCTCGTTCTCCTCCAGTGCTGTACGTAGACAACAAGGCCATGCTGGCCTTGTGTCGAGAGCAGCGTCTGGAGCACAGAACGAAGCACATTGCTCTTCGCTACTTCCTTGCTCATGAGCTACAGCAGCGTGGACAGTTGCGGCTTGCGTACGTGGCCTCTGAGGCCAACACTGCTGATGTGTTCACCAAGGCACTCGCGCCTTGTGACCATCAGCGCTTCTGCACCCAGCTGGGTCTTGTGCCTGTCTTGCCTCACTTGCTCTCCTCTTGACTTTACTTGTACTGTGACATATATATACCTGCTCTTGCTTGTCTAGCTTTATATATATGTCTGTACTCTTGCATGTGAACTGGCCTTTGGCCTTGCTCTTGTGCTCGGACTGTGTGGTGACTTTGTGATCCACCCTGAGCTTTGCTTTGCCTTGCTTGACTGGTCTTGTGACCCCTTGTTCTCCCCCACTTTGCCTATGGGGGTGTGTCTGAACATATTTATAGCTTATACTATTGGGTAGGGTGTAGTGGGGTATCCCATAGGGGGTACAACCCAGTTAGGGTTTCCTATTTGTACCCACTTCATTCATAGTCCAATTCATTCTCGTTCTATATGCCACAGCCCCCCCCCCCCCCCCCCCCGCCGGCCTTCTCCGCAGTGGCATCGGTATGCATATCGACGCCCCTCTGCTTCGGGACCGCGACGTTATCCCCTTCACCGACCTCGACCATGCCACCACCTCCGTGAGCCGCCTCCACGCCGACCTCGCCGAGATCCGCTGTCGCACCCTTCCCCTCCCCTTCGTCGTTCTCGACATCCGCCGATCTCCCACCCGTTTCCTCCGCTCCTCCAACAACGTACCCCTCCGCCATTTCCACGTCCTCCACCTCTACCAACTGCTCCTCCTGTTGCTGCCTCTCGTGCTCCTGCGTCTCCTGCTCCTGCTCCTGCTCCTCCTCCAACTCCGACTCCGACCCCGACCCCGACCCCGACCTCGACCACGACGACTCCCCCGAGCCCCCCTCACCCTCACATTCCTCCTCGCGATCCTGGACCCCATCATCATCCCCGTGAACAACCTCAGTCCCGGTAACCCCCTTTCCTGCGGCTGCATCGGCCTCGTCGACGCCGACTCCCGACTGCCGCGCGCATCAGCGACGTTCGGGGCGACCCCTACTGCTACGGATGCAGAATGGACTTCCTCCCCGTCGTCGTCACAGGCGTCGGCAGCAACAACGATTTTCCCCGACCGTATGAGCGGGACTTGCTTCTTGATGAGGGCTACCATCTCGTTTTGCAGCGCCTTCAACCCCGAGACGGTGGGCTTGTCCATGCTGGTGGCAATGCGACGGAGGTCGCCGGTCAGGAGATGGAACCGCCTCACAACCCAGATCAACGCGCTCATTGCTAGCAGGCCGGAGCCCATGTCCGAGTCCCGGATGGTGCAGAGCGCAAGGATTAGGGCGGCGTAGATGTGACACCATATGACGGCGAATCGTCCAGAACTCACATCTCGAAGGGGTTCGTCGCAGTCGGCGAGCCTCGCCTGCACCTCGTCTTCGGACGGCTTCGCCCACTCCCATTTCCTACCCTCGCGCCGCAGCTCGGCCAGAACAGCGGTCCGGAAAAACCTGCAAAAGCACGGCAAGGACGGTTGGTTAGCACGGTGCACGCTCCGTGTCGACAATGTATGCGATGTCGACTAAACTATCGAGCTCACTTCAGCATGCGGATCGCCTCGTCGCGGTGCCACTCCTTCACTGTCTGCGGGTCGGTGTGCCGGATCGAGGTCCTGACCTCCTGCCCCGAGGCATTGAACAAATCGTTGGGGCACAGGATGAGAACGACGCTGCAATGTGCTCCCAGGAAGCGGTGCGATGCTGCACAGACAAGGCACGTCGATGGCGCTCAGAACAAATCACCGACACAGGTTGCAGCACACAACAGGACCTCGAACCTGCTCACCTCGATATCAGTGGGATAATCGCCACGTCGGCGTCGAAAACCGTCGCAAAGCATGTGTGGTCGTCCTGACCCATCGCCGCCCGAAGCCGGCCGACTCCTATCGACCACAATCGCCCGCCTGCATCAGTTGAGCGGATCCATGCGTGCCTGAACGCATGCATGGTTACAACAAGTTAGAGAGGTATAGGTGCGCGGCACGACGGTGGAATGACGGGAGCCGAACGACTTCGGCACAACTCAGCTTCGACGACGACCTAACGCATTACGTCGGCGTCACCGATGTGATCTACCTGAACTCTAAGCCTGTCGACATAAACTACTGGACGCATTGAAACCCCGCTAGGGCCGACCAGCATGGAATAGGCCCGTCGATGACGACATCTCCATAAGACACTCACTTGAGACCGAGTCCCAAGCAACGGGCGTTAAACTCTAGCATAGGGTTTGTCAGAACGGCGTAGTCGCGCTCTTCGAACTTGGCCGTGTGTCCTGTACCGATGTCTAGATGCAGGGGGAAATCTAGTGAGGTCGGCGCCGCTTCAGGCGGCTTTCTGGCCAGCCGCCATGGCGAGAGAGCAAGGATGCTATGCTACAGGCTAAGGGAAGAAACGGTGGGAGTATGGAAGGCGCAGAGCTGCGAGAAAAAATGAAAGAGAAACGAGAACGCAAAAATGAGGGGCCAGTCCACCTCCACGCAGGCCCGGTTGAGCGTCGCCCAGGGGGCCGTGATGCCTGGCTCGGCAGGGCTCATGCACAAGTGGCGTGGCACAAGTGCACCCTCGCCGCCGAGCCAACAGGTCAACGTCACGTCCCCTGGCCTCGGTCGGCCAGGGGATGCAACTTCGCATGCGCGCGGTGCGACGTTTCGGAACCACGTGTCGATTTCGCAGCGGGTCGCAAAAACCGTGCGCCCTGGGGCGAACGACCCAGTTTTCGCTCGAATTTCGGCGGGTACGAAATGTCGCATGCATACGATGCGAAATGACGGGCGAGCACATGGCGTCACCGCAACGGGTCGCGAAATAGTCGAGCGACCCGAGGGGAGCCCCTGATTTTCGCATGGACCTCGCCTGCCCGTACGGGCAGGCCGCGATGGGTTACTAGGACCTCGCGGGCACGAGGGAGGGGTGGGCTGCCTTCGCGGCAGGGTTACTTTCCCTCGCTCGAGGTCTCGCCAGCTCGCCGCCCCCACCCGGTAACGTGGGTCGCTGTTCACTTTCGCGGGGGGGGGGGGGGGGGGGGGGGGGGGGGGTTGCGGGGCGGCGGTCGTGCGCTCGGCCCAGCCCTGGGCCAGGCTGGCGGGCCCGCACGCGCGTCACTTGCCCGCCTCGTCAGACCCCTGTCCGTCGACCCCCCTCGTCGACCCTGGCAATTCGGGTCCGTCGACCGAATTCCGCTGGGATCTTCAGTTTGTGGCGCCTTTTGGTGACGAAGTTGGTCTGGATAAGGTGGGTGGATGAGGTGGATTGGATTGATCCGGAATTTGAAACTCGGGGTGGGCTGCGGCGAGAGGGGTGGAGGATTTGTTCTTCTGTAATTTGGTGCCAGTATGATAAAGTGCTCGTACTGGATGTCATAATTCGGCTGGTTTCGTCGAGCCGTGTTGGATCAGACCAATGTGAACAAGATCGAGACATGTGAAGTGTGCCGAGGTTACAGCGACCCGTGTTTACAGTTGTCACAAAAACCCGACTTCCTACACGCGAGCTTCGAACCCGTTCCAATCCGAGCGACTTGCTCCCACCGATTTCAACCCTGATTCAAGTTTTGATCCGTGCTAAACGAGCCCTAGCAGACAGCCCGCCCTCGATCTGCTTGAGATGAGACCCTGGCCTTAACGCGTACATGGATTCTATTTGTTTCTGCCAACTCATCGTAGGGCCCACGTCGACATAGTGAGAAAGCCTTGGAATTGTCTTAACATCTCCAATCTCTTCCTGATTTGGTGGCGATTAGGGCGTAACTCTTGAATTTATGCACTTTGTGAACCGAGTGGTGGCCTAAGTCTGCTTTGCGATTACGCGTTCTTTTGTTATATATACATTAACACTTCAACTAGCCAAGCGGAGAATCATTCAGCAGATTCCGCATTGCACGGCGAAGCACACTCCCAGGGCTCTGTTCAGAAACGAAGCAGCGAGTTTCGCGGGCCGCGCGTTTCATGAACCTGTCAGCGTCCGTGTGCTCGGCGGCGAATCGCATTTCGAAGGATTCTGACCAGTACCGAAGCAGCTACAGGCGCGTACGCGTTTCATGAACCTGTCGGCGTCCGTGTGCTCGGCGGCGAAGCGCATTCAGAAGGAGCTCGCGGACATCGGCGCGGAGCCCTCCGCTGACTGCTGGGCGGGGCCGAAAGGTGACAACCTCTTCCAGTGGGTCGCCACGCTGCTCGGCCCGCCAGGTAGTTCGCGCGTGTGTGACCGCAAGCCACTCAACAGGTGCCACTCAACGAGCTTCTCTACCTAAGACTCGAAAGGCGACAACCTCTTCCAGTGGGTCGCCACGCTGCTCGGCCCGCCAGGTGCGCGCGTGTGACTGTAGCGCAGCGGGGGTGTGCGTCTGTAGCGCAACGGGTGTGTGTGTGACTGTAGCGCAACGGGTGTGTGACTGCTGTGTGACTGCGACGCGTGTGTGACTGCAACGCAACATGTGCCACCATGCCCGGCCCACAAGGTGCTACATGTACTCTGTCGAAGGGCCGCAGGGAATGTTCTTGTAACGGGAACGTACTCTAGAACTGACCCTTTTACGCTGACTTCATGTAATCATGGGCTTTGTTGGTTGGGACCCCTCGTTCGCCTAATCATTGCCCTTCCAGAGGAGTTTTCCCCTCCTGATTCCCTTCTCCCACACGTTTCCTTCACTCCCAGATTGCTTCTCCCTCCACCCACGGATTCGCTTTCCCCCGCAGCTTTGTTACCCTCAAATCAGAACTGCCGCTTGGGACGGACCCCTGGCACTCCTCCTCACCACATCCTTCCCTCTCTCCCTTTCCCCCTGCCTATCCCTCTCCCTCCTTTCATACGGCAGACTCACCTTATCGTGGGGGAGTGTTTTTTCTTGACATTGCCTTTCCCCAGGACTACCCCTTCAGGCCGCCACAGGTAGGCTCAAAACCCTTGACTCTTGCGGCATTGCGAGTGAAGTGAAGCAGCTGTTGAGTAACGCCCACTTGAATTGAAAAGGGGCAGGGCAGTGCTTCAGGCATGGCATGGCATGTAGCAACGGCCACTGCCATGCGAAGCGAGTTGAATGAACTCACTTCTAAGAGAGTTCAATAGTGATTTTATCGCCCACTTGGAATGGGGAAGAGTGCTCTAGCTATGGCATGAAGCAACGCCCTCTGCCATGCCAAGCGAGCCGTGCGGAACACGCGTGTGTGAACCACAACCACTGCAGTGCCACGTGTGCACCTGCACCATTGCAGTGCCACGTGTGCGCAGTGCCACGTGTGCACCATTTCAGTGCCACGTGTGCACCACCGCAGCAACGTCTAGCTGCAACAGGGCATTCTCCCCACATTTTCCCTCTTCCCCTCCCCTCCATCCAATCAGGTGTGTTTCCGCACGCGCGTGTACCACTGCAACGTGTGCAGCGCCAGCGGCCGCATTCGGCTGCATCTGCTGGACGATGGCTGGAGCCCTGCCATGACCATAGCGCGCGTGCTGCAAGCCATCATTCATCTCCTGAGGTTCCCGGTTCCAGGTGAGGCGCGCTCATGCCTTGCCATGAGATGTTAGGCTCTGCTGGACGATGGCTGGAGCTCTGCCATGACCATTGCACGCGTGCTGCAAGCTGTCATCCATTTGTCGAGGTTCCCAGTTCCAGGTGAGTGGGGCACTGTGTAGGTAGGTAGGGAGTTAGGTTGCATGGTTTGGTGTGGTGGGCTCGTTGCCGTTTGTCTGCTGGACGATGGCTGGAGCCCTGCCATGACCATAGCGCGCGAGCTGCAAGCCATCATTCACCTGCTGAGGTTTCCTGTGCCTGATGAGAGATGGTGTGGGTGTGTTGTAGTATACCATTTGGGCTGTCATACCATTTAGGTTGTCATGCCTTGTTGAACCCTCATGCCTGCCATGACCATTGCACGCGCGCTGCCAGGCATCATCCATTCCCCGAGGGTCCCAGTTCCTGGTGAGGTTGCATGGTATGCTATGGTGCGCCTTTTTGAGGCGCCTCAAAATACACCTCACTACCCGAGGGTCCCAGTGCTTGGTGAGGTTGCATATATGGTATGGTGCGCCATGCCGTTGCTGCTCTACTGGACGATGGTTAGAGCCCTGCGATGACCATTGCTCGCCTCGCGTGTTGCAAGCCATCTTCCACCTCCTGAGACGCCCCGTATCCGGTGAGGCAGCATGGCGTGGTGTGGTGTGGGGTGGGGTGGGGTGGTTTGTCAAGTTGGTGTTGTCTCGTGTGCTATCTTAAAATGGCATGGCATGATGCGTCATGCATCTCACATCGCCTTGTGTAGGCATTATGGTTGGCCTGCATTATGTGGTATGCGTATCTGGTTGGCCTGGCCTGGGAGCATAGCGCATCAATCATTGTGTGTACTGGTTTGCCTGTCTTCCTCTCCCGTGCTCTCTCATCCTTCTCAGAGGAAGCGCTGGTGGGCTGCATCGCACACCGCTTCGTGTTTGACCGCCCCTCACACGACCGCATCGCTGCTGATTGGACCAGGCGCTTCGCCACGTGACAGGACGAGGCGATTCCCCACGTGACTGCACAGCTTTGTTTGAAACGTGATTGATCAGACTAGGCATCTCGTTGAAGCCGTGCAAGCAAGCAAGCAATCAAGCATGATCCCCGCCCTCGCACACCATCCAGCCTGGCCCCACCACCCCATCGCTGCCTCCCCCTCCTCCACCCGTCCTCACACCCTTGCAACTCCACGCCTTTTCCTGAGAAGGAAGGTATTCACACATGGGAGATGCACCCGTGTGCAGAAGGGTAGATGGGTCAGGTGTAGATGGGGTAGTCAGAACAGGCAAGGCGGAGGTTCTGATCAGAGCTCGTCATCAGACGAGAGCCCGAGAAGACAAGTTGATTGTCCTCCTGACATGAGCCAGAGGGGGACTGTATCTGTCTCCGCTACAAACGATTTCCCGTTACCATCATCATCACCATCATCATCACCATCATTGTCAGCAGCAGCAGCAGCAGCAGGGCTGACAGTTGCTGAGGCGTGTCAGAATGGTTCCCCACTGGAGTTGCAAGTAGGGAGGCGGGGTGTGATGCTGGGAGCCTCTCTTGCTGCATCAGGGCTGGTTGGGGGGTCAGTGGTGGGGGTGGGAGTGGGTGCTGCGTGGGGGGTGGAGGCTCGGCAGTGGGGTGACGGCAAGAGTGGGGTGGAGATTCGACAAATGAAGGACAACTTTGGGGTGAGTTAAGCAAACGTTGGGGGTCGAAGGGGGTGCAGAGCGGTGGAGATTCGACAAATGAAGGACAACTTTGGGGTGAGTGAGTGAGAGAATGAGTGAGTGAGGGAGTGAGTGAGGGATTTAGTGAGTGTGAGTGACTGATGTGCTCCTTGGTAGTGTTTCCTGACCTCTTGCACTGGCCTGCTCTGTCCTCTCTTCTTCTCTGCCCTCTGCTCACTGCTCCTTGCTCTCTCTGCTCTTCTGCTCTCTATCTGCCCAGTGCTACCGTGCCGCTGCTCACTCACCTTTCTCTTGAACGCGGCAGAGGAAGTGCAGAGGGAGGTGGGAGCACAGACAGGCACCTGCTCCTCTGCTCGCTGCTCACTCGCTGCTTACTCACTCACTGCCTGTGTTGCATCGGTCTTTCAGGTCCTGCTTCTGAACGCGGCAGAGGAAGTGCAGAGGGAGATCGGGGCACAGACAGGCGCAGCGTACCAGAGAGAGGTGAGGAGAGCAGTGGAGGAGTGAACCCACGTGGACACTGTTCTCTCCCCCGTTCCCCCTGCCTACTTCCCTGCTGCGGCTGTCAGGTGCTGCTAATGAATGCAGCAGAGGAGGTGATCAATGAGCTGGGGATGAAGACTGGTGCTGACTACAAGAAAGAGGTGCGCGCAGGCGTTGAGTGCGGTTCAAAGGGTTGAGCGATGTCATTATGAATGCAGCAGGGGAGGTGATTAACGAACTGGGGATGGAAACCGGTGTTGTCCACCGACTGCAAGAGGATGCGTGCAGTGCAGTGCGGGCGTTGAGTCCAGCCGGCCGGATAATCTGTTTAAGAGTGCAGTGCAGTTTCGAAGTGAGTGCTTCTGAAACTGTGATGTGCTGACCGCAGCGCAACAGGGGAGGTGATGAACAGTCGTGAGCGCGTTGACTTTTGAGTCGACTCAAAAGTCAACACAGCGCAACAGGGGAGGTGATGAACAGTCATGAAAAGTCAACGCAGCGCAACAGGGGAGGTGATGAGAAGTCATGAGCGCAAAAAGGGAGGTGATTAAGGAGCTTGGGATGAACAAGAGCAGTGTGCACCACAAGAAAAGAGGTGTGAGTAGGTTTTAAGTGCGGTTCAAATGTGAGTGACTTCAATGAATGCAGCAGAGCAGGGGATGTTAAAAAAAGAATGATTTGGGGATGTGAGTGTGTAAGAGCTGACTGATCGGATTCAATCATGTGTGATGAAGGCTGAGCCCCACTGCTGACCATGCTACAGGTATACCTCACCAGAGGGACATATACCTGCCGACCAGGACATGTATTGGAGAGATATGATCATAGCTCACCCACCCTTCTGTCCCCCATCTACCTCCCACTCCGTCCTCTCCAGTTATTCAAGCTGCGCCAGCAGGAGTTCCAGGCGCTCAAGAAGGCCAACTTCGGTTTGGCTGTTGGGTAGCATCCCTTTCATTCCGCCTGAACCTTCTCCTCCCCACCCGTCTGTCCCCCCCATTCCTCCGCCCCCCAAACCCATCTTCAGTTCTTCAAGCTGCGCCAGCAGGAGTTCCAGCCGCTCAAGAAGGCCAACTTTGGAGGGCTGGCGTCGCTGGGGTGAGGCATGGAGGGGGATGTGGCATGTGGGAGTGGGGGGTTGAGCATGTGGGGGAACCGGACCGGGGCATGAGAGGTGCGAGCAGCTGTTGGGCGGGCAGGAGGGCGAAGACAAGACACCTGGGAATCAGATTGGGGGGGATGGGGATACGGATGGGGATACGGATGGGGATACGGATGGGGATAAGGATGGGGATAAGGATGGGGATAAGGATGGGGATAAGGATGGGGATAAGGATGGGGATAAGGATGGGGATAAGGATGGGGATAAGGATGGGGATAAGGATGGGGATAAGGATGGGGATAAGGATGGGGATAAGGATGGGGATAAGGATGGGGATAAGGATGGGGATAAGGATGGGGATAAGGATGGGGATAAGGATGGGGATAAGGATGGGGATAAGGATGGGGATAAGGATGGGGATAAGGATGATGGGGATAAGGATGGGGATAAGGATGGGGATAAGGATGGGGATAAGGATGGGGATAAGGATGGGGATAAGGATGGGGATAAGGATGGGGATAAGGATGGGGATAAGGATGGGGATAAGGATGGGGATAAGGATGGGGATAAGGATGGGGATAAGGATGGGGATAAGGATGGGGATAAGGATGGGGATAAGGATGGGGATAATGGATGCGTCAAGAGAGGAGTTTTGGGCCAAGTCACAGGTGTGCCCATGAGTGCACATTCACTCACCTCTTCGTTCGTTCGTGCAGTGCAGGGCATGCATCCATGATCCATCCATGCATGATCCCTACGCTCCCTTACCCTCCCCTCCTCTCCCCTCCTTTCTCCTCCCTTCTCCTCTCTTTCCCCCCATGAACGAGCAGGCAGAGCTTCACAGTGAACGATGTTCCCTACTTCAACTTCCAGTCATACATCCAGGTGGGTGGAGGAGGGATATGGTGCTTCTCGCACATCCAGGTGGGCAGTGAGTGCTGTGAGCAGTGGGAATGCAGCGAGTGAGCACTGGTCAAGCAGGCAGAGCTTCACAGTGAAGTGAACGATGTGCCCTACTTCAACTTCCAGTCATACATCCAGGTGGGTGGAGGAGAGAGATGGTGCTACTCATCCATTCCATTCCATCCACCAGGTGAGAGCAGAGAGCGCTGTGAGCAGTAGGATTGCAGTGAGCACTGGTCAAGCATGCAGCAGGTGATTCAGCGATGTGCCTTCCTTCAAATTCTAGTCATTCATCCAGGTGAGCAGCACTGGGGTGCTGGTCTGGTCACACATACAGGTGCGAGCGGCTACATCTAATCCAGGTCTGACTTTTCCTCACAGTGAACGATGTGCCCTACTTCAACTTCCAGTCGTATATCCAGCCCAGGTGGGCACTGGGGTGCTGTGCTGGTGGCACAACCAGCCCAGGTGAGTGAGCATGGTGTGCTGTGCTCTCAACACATCCGCACGAGGTGACTTTTGAGTCGACTCAAAAGTCGCATGGTGTGCTGTCCTCTCGACACATCCGCACGCTGCTGCAACAGTCCCTCTCACCCTGCCCCAACTGCTTGAAATGAGCGAGTTTTTGAGACGTCTCAACAAAACTCACTCATCCGCACGCTGCTGTAACAGTCCCTATTACCCTGCCGGTGCTGCTGCCCCACGTCACTTTTTGAGTCGACTCAAAAGGCACTACAGCAGCAGTCTCTCCCTGCCCATGCTGCTGCCCCACGTCACGTGCCTGTTTTCCCTCCTCTCACTCACTCGTTCCCCCTCGCCTCGCCTTGTCTCCCTGTCTTTCCCCCGCCCACCTCCCCTCTCCCCACTACCTCCACCCTCTGTTCCCCCCCATTTGTCTCTGCCCCGCCAGTGGGAGCTCATTGCCAGCCTGTTCCCCACGCTTACTCTCTCTTGCTCCCCCCTCTCCTCCCTACTTCCCCCCTCCCCTCCCTTCTTCCCCCCTCCCCTCACGTCCTCCCCCCCCCAAATTCATCTCTTCCTCTCCAGTGGAAGCTGATCGCCCGCCTGTTCCCCACACAGCGAGTCAGGCAGGTGAGTGTCCCATGTGCCATTGTAACAACGTGACTTTTGAGTAGACACGAAAGTCACCTCACACTCTCTTCATCTCTCGTTTTCAAGCACATTAACATAAGATCCGTGGTCCATCCACGGATGTCAGCCGCTGGATGGATCAAGCGATTGGCACAAGAAGCACTTGCTTCTGTTTCTGTGTACGCCTCGCACCATTTCTGATAATTGGCACTTACTTACGCCTTTTCCTACCACTTCCCCCCTACGTCTCTCTCAGGAGATCAGCGCCCGCTTGGGAAGGAAACTGCTGGACCGAGTGGCACCAGAAGCACGTCCCCTGTTTGCTCCATCCCTTCTTTCGTACACCTTTTCTTCCTCTCCTTCCCCCCTATGTCTCTCGCAGGAGATCAGTGCCCGTCTGGGGAGGAAGCTTCGAGACCGTTTTCTTTCTTAAGCCTCTTCGTCCCCCCTCCCCCCCTTGTAAATCTTGCAGGAGATCAGCACTTGCCTGGGGAGAGAGCTGCTGGATGGAGTGGCACAAGAAGCACTTCCCTGTCTCCAGCCGTCAATACCCATCCGCCATAATCGCCGCCCTCCCTGCTTTCTTAAGGCTCCTCTCCCCCCTCGCCCCCCATTTGTCTCTCGCAGGCGATCAGTTCCCGCCTGGGGAGAAAGCTGCTGGACCGAGTGGCGCCAGAAGCAGTTCCAGGTCTCAGCCATCCCATCTCTCGTAAACCTCCTGCCCCCTGCCCCCCTGTCCCCCCTACGTCACTCGCAGGAGATCAGCACCCGCCTCGGGAGGAAGCTGCTCGATCGAGTGGCACCAGAAGCACTTCCCCTGTTTCTGCCCTCCCTGATTTCTTTGGCCTCTTCTTCACCCCCTTTACCCTGGGTTTCCCTCGCAGGAGATCAGTGCCCGCCTGGGAGGAAGCTTCTAGACCGAGTGGCAATGGAAACAGTTCCCCTTCTTTAAGCTTCTTCTCCCCCCTTCCCGCATTATGTCTCTCACAGGAGATCAGTGCCCGCCTGGGGAGGAAGCTTCTAGACCGAGTGGCACCAGAAGCTGTCACTATCGCTCTTGCACTACCCCCACCCTCCCTCTCCTCCTCCTCTTCCTCCTCCGCTTCCCCCTCGCCATCCTCCTCCTCCACGTTTTCCCCTCTCTCCCCCGCCACCTCCCTACCATTCGCCCGCATCGCCACGTCAGCACCGCCAGCTTCGTCAACCGAACAGGTGGACGACCAGGATTGGCTGGACCCGCCGTCGCTGCTGTCAAAGCAATCCCTCCCACCAGCAGCAGCAGCAGCAGAAGCAGCCGGAGGGGGGGAGGTGCGGCCTGCAGGGCTGGTGGCTGGGGTGGAGGAGATCCTGCAACGCCTGCTGGATGTGGGGTTTCTGCAGGTGGGTGGGGGTGGGTAAAAAGGGTCAGGGGTTTGGGGTTGATTTTGAAAGAGTTGTGGGGTGGGGGGAAAATAAATTCCCAATTTAGGTGCAGCCTGCAGGGCTGGTGGCTGGGGTGGAGGAGATTTTTCAGCGCTTGCTGGATGTGGCCTTCCTGCAGGTGAGTGGGAGGCAGGGGTCAGGGGTTTGGGATTGATGGTGAAAGGGGAGTGGGGAAGAATAGGTGCAGACAATAGGTGCAGACAATAGGTGCAGTGCAGGCGGCAAGGCTATTGGGTGGAGTGGATGAGATTCCGCACCGCCTGCTAAACTGTGGGGTTCCTCCAGGTGGGCTGGGCTGGGGTGAGGGATGTGGATTATTCCGACACACCTGCTGAATGTGGGATTTCTGCATGTGGGTAGTAGTATGGTTGTGATGAAGAGCAGCAGTGTGGTTGCCTGTCGTGTGTCATTTCATAGCACAGGCCTACACCGTGGAGTGGGTATCAGCAGCAGGCGGTGGTGCGGAGAGGGATGAGGCCCTGTCTTGTGACTCTCACGTCTTTACAACAATGCGCGCTCGCACCCCCTCTCTGCTTCACATATCCTGTCTGGCCCCACAGGCCTACACCGTGGAGTGGGTATCAGCAGCAGGCGGTGGGGCAGAGTGGGACAAGGATCGTCGCGGCAGCATGCAAGTGAAGGTGCAGGTGAGCTGTTCACTCAGGTGCGCGTAACCTCTCACCACTTATGTGATGAAGCGGAGGTGCAGGTGTGGTGAAGGGAAGGGACAGGTAAGCTGTGTTCTCACTTATCATGCTTCCCAGGTGCAGGTGAGCTGTGCGTCCCGTTATCATCACTCCTCCGTGTGGGTGCTTGTGGCTGTTGCCTACTGAATATAGTACGATGGGTTCTTTCCCCTCGACCAGTCTCACTTTTTCTATCAGCTATTTTACTTGCTCCCTCATTCGCCACCCCCACTTGCTTGCTCCCTCGTCATTCCCACACACACTCCCTCACTCACTCTCTCAGGGACCGGCCAATCTGGATGGAGCAGTGCTGCTGCTAGCAGAGTGTAACTATGCTCAGGTGTGATGGGTGGTTCTCAGGAGTGATGGGTGGTGCTCAGGTGTGATGGGTGGTGCTCAGGAGTGATGGGTGGTGCTCAGGAGTGATGGGTGGTGCTCAGGAGTGATGGGTGGTGTGACTATGTCAGGTGTGTAGTTGGTTGGTGTGACTATGTCAGGTGCGTCATTGGTTGTTCAGGTGCGTAGGCTGGTGGGAGTATGCCAGGTAACCCCCCCTCTTTTCCGCTGAACGATCATGTCTAGAGCCTTTCTTCTCATTCTAATCCCTTCTACCCAATCCCTCCCCCTCCTCCCTCTCTCTTCTTCCACAGCGCTACTCTGCCATCATCCGGGCCTTCTTCGAGCGAATGGGGGTTTAGGCTGGCGTGGATGAAACCTTCCCTTCCCACTCTGATTTCTTTCTTCTTCCAAACTCCTTTTCCCCCTGTCCTCTCCTCTCTCTTCTCCCCCCCACAGCGCTACTCCTCCTCCATCATCCGAGCATTCTTTGAGCGAATGGGGGTGCAGGCTGACGTGGATGAATACTTCTACAGGGAGAAACTCAATGTACGTACAAACAATTATATCATACAGATTGTTTCTGAAGTCCTACAGAACCTGTAGAGAGTGGAATAGTGATTCTTTTGCTTGCCCACTTCCTTTCTGCCCTCCAATTCCTTTTGCCCGCCTATCCATCTCTCTCTTGCCTCTTACCTCTCCTCCTTCCTTTCATGAGCAATAATATCCTGAGAGCCACTTGCCACTCCCTTCCCATGGCCCTGCTTCCACCCCGCTTCCACAAGCAGTACAAGCCCATGTCGCTTCTAGAGCAAGCAGCCCTTTCACTTGGTGACCCTCTCTTGTGCCTCTCCTCGTTCTTTCACGTGCAACACAAGCCTAAACCACTTGCTGCTCCCCACCCATGCCCCTCGTCCTCCCCTCTCTTCCACAAACAGTACAAGCCCAAGTCGCTTCTCGAGCAAGCAGTCCTGTCACTTGGTGACCCTCTTGTGCCGGTAATCTTTCTTACTCATGCCCTACTCTTTGCATATTCTGTGCTAATAATTATCTGCTCCTCTCCCCGCCTGATAACTTCCCACCGTCTCCCCTCCATCAGTATGTTGTCACGTTTGTTATGCCACGTGCCATGTTTCTGCGACAATGTGTCCGTGCATTTTTGCACTTGCTGGTATTGTCAATTGATTTCTCAAGCGAGTAGCGCCATCTTTTCCTTTTCTTTTCTTTTCTTTTCTGTTCTTTTTTCTTTCTTTCTTTCTTTTCTCGAACCCTTGCATGGCAATGGCAGGTGGTGAATCAGTTTGACGTGGATGAAATCATTGAGACCTGGGATCTCAGGCTACCGCCTCAGCAGTAAATTGAAGGAATATATTAGAGAGCGCAGCGATAACGAGAGAGTTTCTGCTATGGGAATGATGTTGCGCCAGCAACTTGGTAGAGTTTCGGTAGCGTTTGCCTCTAAGGACTTGGTGAGAATTGAAGTAGCATTTGGACTTCACTAGGAACATGGAAAATATATATCAAACACACAAGCAAACACAAACATATATAGGCAGGCGAGGGTTTCACAAGAGGTTGCGTGGGCGCTGCGAGTAACCCAACCCCACGAAAGTGGTGTGTGGGTGAGCGAACGCGCCTCGCCAATTTCCCAACCCAACTCAGCATCGACTTCTCGCTTCCGTGCACACCACTCCACCAACACAGCAAGGAGTGGTGCGACTCTCCAGGAAGCACCAACGACTCCCACGGACTCTCGCTTCTTCATGCGAACTCCTGCGCAGTTGCACATAGTCACACGTAGTCATACCCGACCTCCACCGAACTCATTCGTCGGTGCCGAGTAGACTCAGTCGTTAGGCGTCGACCTGCCAAGTCAAAGGTTATCGAGGGCCCTTGCTGTTGTAGGGCCCTCTAACACTCCCCTGCCATACTACAGCAAGGCCCTTTATAATCACAGGGCATGCATACACACATACACACCAAAACAAAGGGAAACACACACAAACGAAGCACTCTCAAAGTGCAAACACGCACCGCACCAGCCATGGATAGGCCATGGCACCATCCACATCATGGAGTGTTTAGGTCTCACCCCCCTCACTCGAAAGCCTCACCTGCCCCACAGCCTCGAAGCAACGACTGAAGGCGGAGAAATGCAATGCCTTCGTGAGGTAGTCAGCAGGCTGCTCGCTCGTAGGGATGTACTGCAACTTCCTGCGCTTGACCATGTGCTGCAGCCACATGTGGCGACATCTGCTTGAGGCTCCCCTTGAGCCCCATGCCACCTGCCACTGAAATGGCGGAGGAGTTGTCCACAAAGAGAGTAGTGGGCTCCTCACTCCTCAGCAGTTGAAACTCTGCCAGCAGGAAGCGCAGCCTGCGCGCCTCCTTCCCAGCCTCCACAGCAGCAACATACTCAGACTCAGTGGAGGAGAGGGTGGCGCAACGAATCCTCTGGCTCGCCCATGAGACAGCAGCACCCCTAAGCACAAAGACATAGCCACCTGTGCTGGTCCTGTTCTGCTTGTCCCCTGCATCATCAGCATCGGCGTAGCCCACCAGCTCCAAGGACTCCGGCCCACCACCAAACTCCAGCGCCACATCCCTGCTCCCCACCAAGTACGTCAAGCACCGGTCCAACTCCTTCCAGTGCTGATCACTCCGCACAGTCTGGCCCGACCCCAGCTTGCTGCAGGCGAACGAGATGTCGGGATGGGTGGTACAGGCTGCGAACTGCAAGGATCCCACCTTCTGCCTGTACTCCTCCTCCTGGCGAGACTGCCATCCCACATCCTCGAAGGTCTGCACACTGAAAGGGTCAGAGGAAAGAGGGGTGCGAGGCACTCGCAGCGGCTGCTCCCCGTTAAAGAAGCGCCTATGGACCTTGTCCACATAGGCCCCCTGGTGCAGCCACAGCCTCCTCGTGGGCCTGTCCCGAATCAGCTGCAACCCCAAATATTTCTCCACAGGGCTAATCTCCCGCAGCTGAAAGGCACTCTGCAGCAGGTCACGCAGCTCCGCTAGCATGCTCTGACTGCGGCTGGCAGCAAGCAGGTCATCCACATACACCAGCAGCCAACACATCTCCCCCTCAGCATCAGTTTTGAAGTACAGAGCCTCATCCACCTTGCTCTTCTTCCATCCAGCCCCAAGCAGCACCCCATCCAAGGCCTCATACCATAGCATCGGGCTCTGCTTGAGCCCATACAAACTTTTCACCAACTTACAGACACGAGGAGTCCCATCCTCGTAGTAGCTCGGCTGCTCCATATAAAGGTCTCGGTCCAGCACGCCATGGAGGAACGCGTTCTTTACATCGAGCTGCATCAGGTCCAAATCAAGTGCAGCTGCAATCGCCAGAAGCACACGCGCCGTCACATAGCTTCCCACAGGGGCGTACGTCTCCTCATAGTCCACCCCTGCCACCTGCGTGAACCCCTTCCCTACTAGCCTCGCCTTCTCACGCTCCACTATCCCATCAGGTCGGAACTTGGTGTTCACAATCCAGCGGTTCTTCATCACATTCACCCCTGGCGGACGCGGAACCAACTCCCACGTCCCCTGCTCAATCAAGCTCCACATCTCTTCATCCATCGCCTCCTTCAACTTGTCGCCCTTCCAGCAGCCCAAGGCCTCCTTCACTGTCATTTTCGCTATGTCCCACTGCCTCAGGATCAGCTGCAACGTCCGGGTCTAGGTCAGTCCACTCCTCGTCCTCCTCCTCGTCATCCAAGCCCGCTGGCTCAACCACTACAGCCCAAGCGTATCGAACAGGCGGGACACCACGAGTGATGCGAGTGGAGCGACGCAGTGGTGCAGTGGTCGTCCCAGAAACCAACACACGACCACCATCTCTAATTCCCCACATCTCCTGCTCCCCTGTCTGCTGCTCCCCTAGCTGCTGGTCCACCATCTGCTGCTCCTCAATCCGCTCCTCCCCTATCTGCTGCTCCCCACTCTGCTGCTCCCCTGTCTGCTGCTCCCCAATCTGCTGCTCCCCTGTCTGCTGTACTCCATCCATACTGCTCTCGTCCTGCAGCTGCTCAGTCTCAAGGCGCTGCCCGTCGGTGATCTCCACAGACGGTGGCACCTCCATCCCCCCCCCACCAACGGGCGGCGCCGTGGAAGACGAAGAGGAGGGCGGAGCAGGTGCAGGAGGGATGGAGGGTGGAAGGGGAGATGGAATACCAGGAGGAGGAGGGGAAGCCAAGGGGGGTGAGGAGGAAGAAGGCGGGTAGACTGAAGGCGGAGGAGGGGTGGGGACCGAGGTAGGGACATAGGGCATAGCAGGAGGTGCGACCACCTCCTCCTCCTCCTCCGCCTCCTCGAGAGTGATCGGGAAGAGTGAGGGAAGGGGCTCATAGGGCATCGAACGCCCCCCATGCTCCTGCTGATGCCAAGCCTTCCATCCTGCTAGGGACATGGTCTCATAGAACACAGCTTCCACAGTGGTGATGAGGCGGTTGGACTCCAAGTCCAGCACGGTCCAGCCTTTACTCGCAGCTGACACACCCAAGTGCAACCCCCAGCGAGCCTTAGGCGCCAGCTTCCCCCCACGCTGCGACCGTGGTACCATGTACTGCAGCATGCAGCCCCAAACACGCAACATACTGACATCAGGTTTGCGTCGGAAGGCGAGCTCGTACGGCGTCACACCAGAGGGTAGTGAGGCGTGCTCCACGCGGTTGCGCACCCAGACGGCCTGAGCCAACGCCAGGTGCCACCAGTGATGCTGCACACCCATGTGCAGCAACATCGTCCGCACCGCCTCCACAATGCTGCGCATCTCTCTCTCGGCCATCCCGTTCTGCTCCGGCGTGTACGGGCATGTGAGATCATGGATGATGCCTTTACCGTCAAGGAAGAGCGTGAAGTCGTGCCCCAGGAACTCGCCACCCCGATCAGTGCGCAGCGCCTGCACCGTGGTCTTGCACTGTCGCTCTGCCATCGGGAGCCACTTCTGGAACGCCGCCAGCGCATCACTCTTCTGGGCCAAAGGGTAGGCCTAGACATATCGCGTCTTGCGATCCTTCAGCACCAAGAAGTAGCGGCTGCCGTCCTTAGCTGCTTCACGGAAAGGGCCACACAGGTCAGCATGCACCACCCCGAGCAGCTCAATCCTCCTCCTCTCCCACAGAAGGAAAGGTATGACGAGTGATCTTTCCCCCAACACAGGAAACACAAGGTATGCCTGACTTGCCCCCCTTCTCCAAATCCAAGCCCTTCACTGACCCGTGAGCCGCTGTGCGCTCGATGGCATCAATACCAACGTGTGCCATACGCGCATGCCACAGGTCCCCCTTAGACCGCACGCCCGTCGCCAAGGTACGAAGTGCCACCGTTTCGCCTTCCTGCTGCTGCGTCGAACACGGCTGGAAGTTCGTGCAGAGAACACGCCCCTTGAACTCCGCACGACCAAGGAGCGATCCATCTGGTGCCCGCAGCAAAGTCACATCCTCGGCATCCAGCAGCTGCACACCACTATCACGCAGCTGCCCAGCAGAGAGAAGACTCCCTGCACTCCTGGTACGTACAGCACGTCCGGCACCAAGACACGCCTGCCCCCCTCTCCAAGAAGAGCGATTGTGCCCCGCCCCTGCACCTTCTGAAGTGCGCACTTGAAGCCAATAACCTGTTTAATATTGCCGCCGCTGCTCATCTCCACAAGGGCAGAACGATCTCCCATGAGATGGTGGGAGCATCCGCTATCAAGCAGCACGACGCTCGGGTTCGCCTTCACAGCAGCTGCAACAGCCTGTAAGCCCTCCCCGGCCTCAGGCTCTAGCACAACAAGAGGAGTCTGCTCCACAACGGGCTTCACCATTGCACATGATGATTGCCCGCTCCCCTTAGAGCCATCACCCCCCTTTCCGCTGCTACCTCCAGAACCCTCTCCACCGGTGTCTGCCTCCTTATCCGCCCGCTGCTGACAGTACTTAGCAACATGCCCTATTTGTCCACACACATAGCACTTCCCTTTGAAGCCCCCTTTCCCCCCCTTCGGCTGGCCATCCTTACCCCCTTTCCATTTCTCCCCTCCCCCACCAAGCCCACCCCCATTCTTAGGCTGCTGCTGCTGTGCCGTAATGGGAGGGGAAGGGAATAAAGTCTGCTAGAATTGGGGCTTACCCTTCTTGGTAAAGACCTGGTTAGCCTGGGGAAGGAATTGGTCCTTTCGTCCCTCTGACGCCAGCGTACATTCCTCCTCGATGATGTAGCTAGCGAGGGTGTTCTCGTCCAACTCCTTGCGCACCTGCGGCAACTTCAGCATCCTGCGTAAGAGGTTGTACTGCTGCGGCAACCCCTTCACAACGTGAGTGATGTACGACGCCTGCGAGTAATCTACGCCGGCCATCCTCAGGTTCACTAGGATCTGATGCGCATGGTTGCAATAGGACGTAGCGGAATCGTGCTCTCCCATCTCGAGGTTAGTGAGCGCCTGCTCTAACTGACCGATGTACATATCGTCCTTCGCCATGTACGTGCGCATAATAAACTGCCATGCCTGATAGCCGGCATCGACCTTCATGCGACACGCCTTAAGGGCGATCTGTACGGTTGGGGAGCAGCATCGGGATATGGTGGTGAATGTCAGCAACTGCATCGCGCGGAACTGAGAGAGATGCGCATGTGCACGCGCTGGTGGAATGGGGGTGGTGCCATCTATGAATCGCTTTAGCTGAGCGATCTCAAGCTGCGGCTCGATAGATTCTGTCCACGTCAACAGGTCGTGACGTTCTTCTAACGGACTAGTGACAACGATCTTGTCTGGAGTGAATCTGACGTAGCCATAGTTGGGGGCTATTCCCTCGTCCCTCGACATCGATCCAATCGGGGTAACGCCCGGCATAGTCTCACTATTGAACTCTTCCGCAATTCCTCCTCCAGCAACGCTCCGCCGTCCTACATTCGCATGCTCTCGTGACGCTGCTGCACGATGAATACGCTCCTGTACACCGCCGACGCTAGCCGTACTAAACCGAGTTGGTCCTCGCAGGACCCCGCGCGACATCAACCCATCAAACTCCTCGTCATCGCTATTTCTGCCATCGACAGCCATATCCCACGCACTAGTACCTCCCGCAACTTTCTCAACATTCTCTACACGTGGCGAAGGGTGCTCACGACGCCGACGCGAGCGCAATCCCTCCAACATTAGCTCGTATTCGATATCACTAATCTCACCACGAGAATGACGAGCCACGAGATCCTCCTCAAGAGCGTGCAAATTACCAGCCTCCACGTTTGCCTCCTCTGTACTCATCCTCTACGACGTCTCTATAAGGTACCACAAATTAAAATTAAGTGCCCCTTCCTTAAGTCCCTCGTCTCGGGGTCACCTCACAAGGGTCCTCAGACGAGTGGTAATAAATTACCAAACGCCCTATCCTTGGATCCGAGAACGTAACTGGAGGGAAATCAAGAGAGGTTCAACTTAGATTAATAAGCGCCCTTCACTAACGCCGCACGCCAAGGCGAGTATACGAACGCGAATATCAACGACGACGGAAATCTATGTGTGTTCGTTCCACGCTCACCGCACCATGAAGGAATATATTAGAGAGTGCAGCGATAACGAGAGAGTTTCTGCTATGGGAATGATGTTGCGCCAGCAACTTGGTAGAGTTTCGGTAGCGTTTGCCTCTAAGGACTTGGTGAGAATTGAAGTAGCATTTGGACTTCACTAGGAACATAGAAAATATATATCAAACATACAAGCAAACACAAACATATATAGGCAGGCGAGGGTTTCACAAGAGGTTGCGTGGGCGCTGCGAGTAACCCAACCCCACGAAAGTGGTGTGTGGGTGAGCGAACGCGCCTCGCCAATTTCCCAACCCAACTCACTCAGCATCGACTTCTCGCTTTCGTGCACACCACTCCACCAACACAGCAAGGAGTGGCGCGACTCTCAAGGAAGCACCAACGACTCCTACGGACTCTCACTTCTTCATGCGAACTCCTGCGCAGTTGCACATAGTCACACGTAGTCACACCCGACCTCCACCGAACTCATTCGTCGGTGCCGAGTAGACTCAGTCGTTAGGCGTCGACCTGCCAAGTCAAAGGTCATCGAGGGCCCTTGCTGTTGTAGGGCCCTCTAACATAAATCTCAGGCTGCCACCACCTCAATTTATTGTGGGGAAACGCGGCGTGATAAATCTGCACACCTTTTTACCGCCTGCGGTACTCAAGTGACCATACATCATAGCTAGGAAGATATTGTGACCAACTAATAAGCATCCAGTAATATACACACGGGTGACGTCATCACATGCCGCCCCGCCCACCCTGGCACAAAGGGAATCGAGGCAAAACGAAAAACCCGCGGAATCCCTCCGGGCCCCCGAAATTCCCCGGCCGACCAGGCAAAAAAAACCCGCAGAACCCCGCGGGTTCAATGTCGTATTCTTATGCCAATATATATGTCGGCCGTACTGTTGCAATTTCGGGGACATTTGTCGAACAGTGCTCGACGGACATTGGCCAATCGTCGTCAAGCACCGTGCACCCCCGACAACACTGGTTACACCCGGTGGCAAGTCGCCACGGCATCGCCTACACGGTGGCGCTGACGGTCGACGGTTGCGAAACCTGTTTCGCAACCGGCCGACGGTCGCAATCGACGGAGACGTCACGTCAACTGCGGCCGACAGGTCTCCTCGTCGGTCGAGCGAACTGTCGCTGTCGGATGGGCGACGGGTCACGTCTGTTGCAGTCAAACGTTCACGTCAAATGTCTCAGTCTCCACGGGAAGCAACATCAGCCCAACGTCGCTGTATAAACCTGAATTCATAGTAGAAGCACCACAGTTTCCTCAGCAGGCCAGGATTTAGGGAGAAATGGTAGCTTTCGGTGGGCACTGATGGAGACCGATCCGTCGACGACAGCGCCTTCCCGGCAGGCGGGCGTAGGACGGATACCTGTCGAATTGGAGTCCATCTCGACACCACCCCCTTTGTCGTCTGGAGCCAGGCCGGTTTCTTCAGCGCCCCCTTCGACGACGCGTGGCATACCGGAGGTGGCAGCGCCCACCTCGACGTCGCGAGCCATACCGGTAGTAATACAGCCAGTTGTTACGGACCAGGGTTCGACGGGTATTCCGGTCACTGTTGAAGTGGGTGGTGCACAGACCGAATTCCCTTCGACAGGTCAATCCATACCTGTTGTCGTAGAACCCATCTCGACAACAAATGCCCCCTTTACACACGAGGCTCCAGCTCACCGTGCACCATCGTCGACAGCCCACCGCTCGACGGAACCTTCGGCTGGTGCACCGACCTCGAGAGGTGGGCGACGTAGGAGAGCGACGGCTGTTCCGCCTGAGGTTCGCCAACCACCCCCAGCCGGCACATCCGCTTCTCGAGCCGCCCCCGCCGCTCCTAGGCGCACTTCGACGAGACCAAGCAGAGAGGACTTAGCCAGGAACGTCCCTGAAGCGACGGACGATGAGGATGTTCGGACGGGAGAACAGCAGGAGGCGGACGATGTCGAACCGCCGGACCCTCTGCGGCCTGCTGCGCCAAATATATCAGAGGATGATGCCGCGCACATTCTCGGCGACCAACCGGGCGCAGACAATCCGTACTTGGCGATCGGAACACTTAAAAGCAGGATTCTCCGGTGTGAGGTTCCGCTGCTGGGAGTTGACCAGGATTCCACACGGCCGAACTATGTCTCTGGAAGCATGCACTACAAAGCTTGGGCCTGTAAATTTCTGGCACCCGACAGAAGCAACGGAGTGCCTAAAGAGGAGCAGGTGATCTACGAGGACGAGATCGGTAGGGAGATCGGCGACGATATAGGGCCGAGATGGAGGGAGGCGCTGCGTAACGAGGAGCACCTGCATGGGACGAGAATAACGAAATGGCGCTTGTGCGCGTACGTCGAATACATGTCGACTGAAACCGACCAACATGCGGCATCGTTGGATACAGGCCGGTCCAGAGTCGCTGGAAGGAAGGCGAAAAAAAGCACCCCTCCGATGATGCTGGCGCGCCTTACTGCGCTGACGTGCTTCTGCAGAGTAGAGGCCATACTCTTCAACGAGCCACTAACGAAACCCTTGGACGACATCACCGAGGCCCGGCAGCTTCTTGCGGTCAAGCTGCGGCAGCTGCACGACTTTCAGTTCGAGTAAGTAGGCTGCCATACACCGGACTCTAAAACTTTTCACTCAAATTCTCACCCAAGTACTCGCTGTATCTGCCCACTCAATGCAGGCAGTGCGTCGATCCACACCGGGGCTCGCTCGACGATGTTTACACGGAGGAGCAGTTCCGCATTCTCGTTTCAGACATCCTGCCGTACTGGGCCAAGGAGTACTTTCGGGAGCCGATGAGTTTCCCCAGTCAGTCGCTGTGGAGGGCCTTGGCCGTGAGGGTGATGATCCTGATGGCGCATCACATGCTGGGCAGGGGGATAAGCATCCGCGAGATCCGCTATTGCAATATGTTCACTCACATCCTTCCGCCCATCACGAACAGCAAGGGGGAATCGTCGCTCCACGTTCTCGTGGTCGCCTATCGCAACTCGAAGACCATCAAAGACAACAAGCTCGGCCACCTGTACCTGACTCGACACATGGACTTCCGGCAGTGCGGCTTCGGAGCAGTGTTCATGTGGATACATTTCATTTTCGACCTTGTGCCGCTCCACTACAACAACGATAAGATCGTGCCCCTCTTGGATTTCAGCAACCCGGCAAATTGGTCAAAGAAGCACCTGTTCTTCGCCCTCTTCGACAAGGATAAGACCGAGTTGCCGTACGCGACTCATGCCAAATGGGTTACCTGGGCGATGAAAAGCGCGGAGTGGATCCTGTCGAAAGTCACACATATCTTTCGACGGTCTGCGGCACAGATCCTCGCCGACAAAAACTGTGAACTCGACAACATCGCATAGCTGGGTCAATGGGACATGAACGAGATGCGCAGGTCATACGTCACAGGCATCCCGCGCGGGGCCATCCAGCTGCAAGCGGGTTTCACGACGGAACCGGGTGACTATTACCTTGGAAGATCGAAGAGCGAAGTACCCGCGAAGGTCCTGAAGGCTATCGAGGAGCACATATTTCCAAAGGCGGAGCAGTGGCTCGACGAGGTATGGATGCGTCGAGCGCTTAGCGTGATCATCGAATGCAAGTTTTGCCCGTCTATCTCTCAATGTCACCAAGTTTGTTCTTGTTCAGGCGATGGAATGGAACAACGAGCAGGACAAGGAGCATATGTTCTTCGCAGCGAAAAGTTTCTTGAAGGCCCTGCAAGCCGCCCGAATGCCCATCGCCGAGGATCTTGCGATGTACTACGTCCATTGTGACGACCACCCCTTCGACGGAGTGACTGTTTGCGACTGCGAGCGTCACCCTTATGCATAGATGTCCGGTTTGTGCAAGGACATGGATTTCAAAAATGGGCGCTTGACGTGTACCTGCTCGACAAGTACGGCATCGAGATGCGGACCAACCCCACGCTGTCGAGAGCTTCGGTAAGATGGCCCTTCTAAATCTTAATCTGAACAGATTGCATCAGCCCACTTATCTACCGCTCGTGAACTTGTGCGCAGGACGCATCCTTTCAACTCAACACCAAGCACCTCATCACACAACTTCGGGCAGAGGTTAACTTACACAAGGAGGAGGGTGGGAAAAAAGAAATCAAGATCAAGGGCCTCGAGCAGAAGGTCGAGTCATTGGAGCGGAAGAAGGGCGTGATGCAAGCGGAGTTGGAGGCGAAGGCAGAAGTGTCAGAATATATCTGTAACTGCCTGTAGCTATAGTTAGTGTAGTTATTATAAACTTTGTTTGGTGGTGCACCTTCTTTGTTTCTTTGCTATATGTTGTTGCCAACCTATAGTGAAGCCATCTTTCTCCTCTCTCAACTTTCTCGACATTCTCCTTACCCTAGAACTCGATCTACTAAGAACCTAAACCATGGTTCCTATGCCAACCTATGCCTAGACTTCATCATGGTATTCAGAGCAGGTACTTTCATGCTGACTTCCTGCTTCCGCTGCCTATCGTCCTGCCGCGCGCCTCGGGCGCGCGGCGTTGGCGCACGGCGATTTTCTGCCCGCCGTGTGCTCCGGGAGCACGGCGGGCTTCTGCCCGCCGTGCGCCCTGGACGCACGGCGTCTTCCTGCCCCGCGCGTGGCGTGCCCTCACGCCGCCTGCGCGCCTGCCTCACGTCCACGGGCGGGCCTGTTTTGCCCGCCCGTACCCTCCACTTCGCGGCGCCCTGCGAGGCGCCGCTCCTTCTCGTCGCGACGCACCTGCGGGACCTGGGCGTCGCCGCTCCAGCTCGTCGCGACGCCCCTGCAGGACCCGCACGGCGTCGCCTTGCTCGTCGTGACGCCACTGCGGGACCCGCAGGGCATCGCCACTGCTCGTTGCGGCGCCCCCTGGACGCCGCCCCTGCTTGTCGCGGCGCCCCTGGGGCGTCGCCCCTACTCGTAGCGGCACCCCTTGGGCGACGTTCCTACTCGACGCGGCGCCCTCCCCCCTGGCCACCGCCTCTGCCTCACCAGCGCCCGCGCCAGAGTTGCAGCCGAGCACGGGCCTACCTTGCACCAGCGCCGCCCCTGGACCAGCAGCAGCAGCCCCTGGAGCCACCGCCCCAACAGCAGCAGCCCCTGGAGGCGCCGGCACTGCAGCGGCCGCCCCAGCAGCAGCAGCGCCTGGAGCAGCCGCCCCCAGCAGCAGCAGCCCTTGCAGCGGCCGCCCCAGCAGCAGCAGCGCCTGGAGCAGCCGCCCCAGCAGCAGCAGCCCCTGGAGCCGCCGCCCCAACAGCAGCAGCCCCTGGAGCCGCCGCCACTGCAGCGGCCACCCCAGCAGCAGCAGCGCCTGGAGCAGCCGCCCCAGCAACAGCAGCCCCTGGAGCAGCCGCCCCAGCAACAGCTGCCGCCGCCCCAACAGCAGCAGCCCCTGGAGCCGCCGCCACTGCAGCGGCCGCCCCAGCAGCAGCAGCGCCTGGAGCAGCCGCCCCAGCAGCAGCCCACGGCGCCGACCCCACAGCTGTCTGCACCGCCGCTCCTGGACTCGGTACGGCTGCCCGTGCCTGTGCTACTTGTTGCTGCCCGTGCCTGTGCTGCCTGTTGCCGCCCGTTGCTGCCCGTGCCTCTGCTGCCCGTTGCCGCCTGTTGCTGCCCGTGCCTGTGCTGCCCGTTGCCGCCTGTTGCTGCCCGTGCCTGTGCTGCCCGTTGCTGCCTGTTGCTGCCTGTGCCTGTGCCGCCTGTTGCTGCCTGTTGCTGCCCGTGCCTGTGCTGCCCGTTGCCGCCCGTTGCTGCCCGTGCCTGTGCTGCCCGTTGCTGCCCGTGCCTGTGCTGCCTGTTGCCGCCCGTTGCTGCCCGTGCCTGTGCTGCCTGTTGCCGCCCGTTGCTGCCCGTGCCTGTGCTGCCCGTTGCTGCCTGTTGCTGCCCGTGCCTGTGCTGCCTGTTGCCGCCCGTTGCTGCCTGTGCCTGTGCTGCCCGTTGCCGCCTGTTGCTGCCCGTGCCTGTGCTGCCCGTTGCCGCCTGTTGCTGCCCGTGCATGTGCTGCCCGTTGCTGCCCGTGCCTGTGCTGCCTGTTGCCGCCCGTTGCTGCCCGTGCCTGTGCTGCCCGTTGCTGCCTGTTGCTGCCCGTGCCTGTGCTGCCTGTTGCCGCCCGTTGCTGCCCGTGCCTGTGCTGCCCGTTGCCGCCCGTTGCTGCCCGTGCCTGTGCTGCCCGTTGCCTGCTTGTTGCTGCCCGTGCCTGTGCTGCCCGTTGCTGCCTGTTGCTGCTTGTGCCTGTGCTGCCTGTTGCTGCCCGTGTCCTGTGCTGCCTGTTGCCGCCCGTTGCTGCCCGTGCCTGTGCCGCCCGTTGCTGCCCGTGCCTGTGCCGCCCGTTGCCGCCGGTTGCTGCCCGTGCCTGCGCTGCCCGTTGCCGCCCGTTGCTGCCCGTACCTGTGCTGCCTGTTGCCGCCCGTTGCTGCCCGTGCCTGTGCTGCCTGTTGCCGCCCGTTGCTGCCCGTGCCTGTGCTGCCCGTTGCCGCCCGTTGCTGCCCGCGCCCTTGTGCGCTCTGCTCTGCCTGCGCCCTCGTGCGCTCCTGCTGCTGCCCGCGCCCTCGTGCGCCCTGCTGCTGCCCGCGCCCTTGTGCGCTCTGCTCTGCCTGCGCCCTCGTGCGCTCTGCTGCTGCCTGCGCCCTTGTGCGCCCTGCTGCTACCCGCGCCCTTGTGCGCTCTGCTCTGCCTGCGCCCTCGTGCGCTCTGCTGCTGCCCGCGCCCTCGTGCGCCCTGCTGCTGCCCGCGCCCTTGTGCGATCTGCTCTGCCTGCGCCCTCGTGCGCTCTGTTCTGCTCTGTTGCCCCTGCCCCCCCCCCCCCCCCCCCCCCCCCCCCCCCTCTTTCTTCGTCTCCTTGCTGCGCGTGCAGCCGTGGAACGGAGGCTATGGGGGTGGCGGGTATGGGGGTGATGGGTGTGTGTGATCCCCTTCCCCTCCTCCTCCTTTCTCTCCCACTGCTGCAGCTTCCGCTGGGGGGGGGGTGGGTGTGAGGGTGTGGGGGAGCTAGGGGAGAGGTGCTAGGGTTGTCAAGGAGTGTGGAAGGGGGAGTTGGAGGACTGAGGAAGGTTCCGGGAAGCAGCCGCCTTAGAGCCAGCAGCTTCACCTGCCAGCAGCCTCTCCTCATATAGTCCCTCCTCCTCACTTGCCCTCTCCTTCTGCTGCGCATGGTGTACCCCTTCAGGGGGTGTCTCTGCATTAGCTTCTGCTGCAGGCAGTTATGGGGGAGTGTCAGAATATATCTGTAACTGCCTGTAGCTATAGTTAGTGTAGTTATTATAAACTTTGTTTGGTGATGCACCTTCTTTGTTTCTTTGCTATATGTTGTTGCCAACCTACAGTGAAGCCATCTTTCTCCTCTCTCAACTTTCTCGACATTCTCCTTACCCTAGAACTCGATCTACTAAGAACATAAACCATGGCTCCTAAGCCAACCTATGCCTAGACTTCATCAAGAAGCACTCGCGCAACTGCAGAAAGCGTTCGACGCACTGAAGATTACGGCCGCGACAACCGCAGCTGCAAATGTGGGGGGGAGCGAGAGTGTGCCGCAGACGGCGACCGAAGAAACCACCCCGCCACCACAGCAACCCCCTCAATCAACGCCCACTCAACAGAGCAAGGGCAGCCAGCTCGACCAAGCATTCTTCGACGCAGTGGTGTGGCCGTGGTGCAATTGCGAGACCGTGCGGCAGGCGTGGTCGTACTGGGACGGGCCAAGCCCGCTGAACAACGGACACAGTCTTCGACACGCTTACAGGAGGGGTTTCGCCGTCAAGTTCAGCAAGTTCACTCCGAATCCTCCCACCGTTCCCCCCGTTGCGGTGGACCAGCCAAAAGAAAAGCCACCGACCCCAAAAGCCGTCGAGTCGAAATTGCGGAAGATGGAGGTTGTCATGAGGGCCGTCGAGATGTTCAGGGTCGACGAAAACAGCGCGGCTACGTCGACGATCATTGATAAGCTTGACTCAATAGTCGCGAACCACTCGATCAACATGCTGGCTGAAGGGCTCGTTCTCAAAGAAGATTTGGGGAGGCAGCTCACGAAGAAGCGCAAAGTCGAGACAGCAGAAGACAACCGGAAGGACAAAGATCGCCTCAGGATCACGCGGGAGCTCATTCGCGTCAAGCTTCGAACCACAAAATGGGCCGAGAACGTGTTCAAAGACAAATGGAAAGACTTCATGAAAACATTGGGCGAGAGCCCAAGTTCGACACGCAATCGTGACGAGGGGGGAAACTAGGGTAGGGTGTTCTTTCAGAGATTGCATGGCATGTTCTCATTACTGACCGACCATCTCGCCTGTATGAACCTTCTGAGCATTATCGCAAACGTAAACTCAAGATCCATCCAACATGTACATTCTGAACCCTAAACTTTGGAAACAACAAACACAATTGTCGAGAATAGCAAACACCCCCACGCAAAGTGCCCGCCTAGACTACTCCCCTTGCCCGCCCGTTTCCGTCTCAGCTGCATCCTCGTCGCCCTGCTTCGCCTTGCTCTTTTCTTCTGGCATAGCCAGGCTGCCATAGCCCGCGTCCTCCAGCAAGCGGGCAGCAGCTCGACAGCAGCACCATTGTGTACAGACCTGTGCTGCCACGCGCAGCATCTGCAGCAGTATGGCGTCCGTCGAGCCGAGACCTTCGACAGCCGACGAAAACAGGTGATCGGGCCACTGCTTCGCCGGGAACGTCTTGCCGACGTGCAAAAGTATGGACACGAGTGCGGACATGGCAGCCACACAAGCCTTCTTTGCAGTCTCCGGGGCGTAGATTGCCGCGTTTGCGGCAGCTAGGGCATCCTTCTTAATATCCTCCCTCGACAACTTCCTGCAGGCCGCCCACAAGCTCGCCACAGTTGCTGCGATGGCCATCATGTGCGGTGTCGCCGCCATGCCCTTCGGGACCGGGTAAATCAGATTCCCGTGCTTCAGGCCAAGCGTCGCGACCTTACCAATCGCCACGCACAGCGCGATTCCCCTCTTGGTTCCAGCTTTCACTTCCTTTTTTGCCGTCGCCAACAGCGACTGGTAACTGCACATCGCAAGAAATGCGTTAGTCAAGAGGCCAGAATTCGACCGACAACACATTCACCGCAAAACAGCTGGTGTTCGACAATTTACCAAAACAGCAGGAACTCGACAGCAGAGTCTAGCAACATGACTTGGACAGGACTTACTCGTCGAAACGACATTCCCCTTGTTCTTGCGCCACGCTCCAAACGCCGGTTGGCATTTCTGCGGCCGCATCGAGGTAGTCATTCCAGTCCTCCTCATCCTGCGCCGTGTACCCTTCGTACTCCGTAAGGACAACGTCGGGGAAGTACACGCGCCAGCAGACGGCCGTACAGACTTTCTGGTCCTTCTCTGTTTCAAAAGTGCCAAGGAACCGCTTCCTCCCGCCGACGGTCTGCTCGGAAACCGGCTTCCCCTTCCGCAACCCGAAACCCGGTCCTTTGAACGGACGTTTGCAGCCTCTCGTCTTGCCTTGGTCGTCCGGTCGAGGAGGTGGGGTGTGACCCGTGACCCTGGCCTTCTTCGCCTTTTCCTGTCGAGCAGCAACGACAATAGAGGTCTTCTCGACAGGCGCCTGACCAGAGACGCTGGCCAGCTCCACCACGTCAAGGCTCTCTGTCGCATGTGCAGCGCGCTTCGACGACTTCGTCGCAGCCGGCTTCTTCTTCGACGTTGAAGGAGAGCCCGGATCGCTAAGGCAAACGTTGCCTAGGGACGGAGCAGCGGCGACAGGAGCAACTGGAGGGGTCGAGGAAGACGCCCAATTTCCCACAAGCCCGACAGCAAGGCCAGCACCACCGCCTTGCGCAGCTGATGCCGCTTTAGTCTTCGACAGCAACCCAGCGCTTGCTTCTCCCGCTCCTTTCCCCGCACCGCCGCCTGATGGGGTAGAGGCACCTCGCATTCCAAGAGCTCTGTTCCCGGTCGAGGCTTTTAACAGGAATGGAGTGTTGGCCCCGCCCTCGCTTGGGCAACGCCGACGACTTGGTCGGATGCACGGGAGTAGCAGCCGACTGTTCACAGTGGGATAGCTGCTCGACAGGTTACGTCGAGCTGCAGCGGACCGCTGTGGTGTTGCTGTCGACCAAGGAGCTCGACAGCTGCAACTGACTGGTTTGTGCGACGGGTGGGCCGTCCAGGAGGTCGACGAAGCAGTCCGTCGACCTACAGTTCGACAGGGAGGTCTACGGAGTAGTTCTGGTCGACGGAAGCGGTCCGTCGACCAGGGGGTAGCTCGACGGGAGTTGTGGTCGACCAGGAGCGCCTGGTGGTCGACAAGAGGGACCCAGTGGTCGACCGGAGGCAACCAGGGGTCGACCAGAGCACCAAGGGTCGACCAGGTCGACCTGGTGACCTGCTCGACGAGTTCTACGAAGGCTCGCGAACGTCGTCGAGATCGCGATGGCGCAGGCGACTTCGAACTGGTATCCCAAAGTCAATGTGGCTCGTCAGGCGCAGACAACAGCCGACGGATGCCTAACGAGGCAAGTCGGACCAATCGTCTGCGCACACCTGCGAGCGCGCGCACTGCTGTGTTCTACGGGGCACGCCGTCGACCTGCTTTGTTGGCAGGTCGCCCTTCTGCAGTGCTGGCGCGGCTCCTCTACGCAATGCTGGCAGGCGGTCGACCGAGCTGCGCTGGCAGTCGACCAGGCTAGCTGCAGGGTTGCTAGGTGCCTGATGTAGTCATTGTTGTCATTGCATCTTAGATGATTCTGGAATTCCAACTTTGCTAGTGGAAACTCTTGCCAAATTCTTCCGTGAATGTGCAAACACTAAGGAACTAAGCAAAGCTAAGATCACCTCTAGTAGTTCGTGCCAACCCCTGTAGTCTAGCTCACTACCGTTGTAGAGTGTATCTCCGCATGGTGCGATGAGCGTGGAACGAACACGCGACCTTCAGATAGGAGCCGACTTTTGCACCTACTAAGTCGTTCGTAAGCCGGCAGCAGCGATAGTCGCCATGGTCGACCCCGTAGTTGATGCGGGTGTAGCGGACACTTTGGAGGCACGTTTGGCTAACGCGAGGAGACGCCACGCGAATGGCGAGTACGGGACGATCCCCTTAGTGATTGCCGAGTTGGGCATCCGGTCGCAGTGGGCGACGGAACACCCTTCCCGTCCTGCTTCTCCTCGACCGGTGCGCAACGAAGGTGGCGTCGACGACGAGGTCGACGGTGGTGCACGAGTCAGCGGCAGCGAAGGCACGAGGCAGAGAGGAGTGATCAAGGTCGACGGTGGTGTCGACGGAATCCAGGCGCGAGTGCAGCGGTCGACGGCGGCTGCAGGCAGCTCGCACGCCGACGTCGATGTTCGACGTCGCTCTCCTCTACGAAGTGGTGGCGGGCTCTCGGCGACGACGCATGTGACGGCGGGCGGGATTGCACCGGCGTATGGCTACTTCAAGTTTTCGCCGGATCGAATCACCGTCGCTCCGTTGCAAGGTCGACGGGACCTCATCACCTGGAGGGAGTCGATCGAACCTCAGCTGGAGGTCGCCGGGCTGAAGGGCTTCGCCGACGGCACCGTGCCAATTCCGCCCGAGGAGGATGTCGGGCTGCGCGGGGAGTTTCGTTCTGCTCACCTGCTCACCTTCATGGTCATCTCGAGGTGCTGCTCGCCGGTGGTACAGCTGGCGCTCAGGAGCTGTCGAGAGCGACTGGATGCTGGTCACCAGGCATGGCGCTTCATCATATCGACGTACCAGGTCAGGGACAACCTGTACATCGGGCAGCTGGAGGAGAAGATGACTCACATTCGGATGGGCGAGCAGGAGTCGGCGACGGATTACTGCAACCGTGCTCGACGGATCCTGGCTGAAATGCGAATGGCGGGCGCCGAATACTCGACGGCGTCCTGTGAAACTAACTGAACAGGAATGAAATTGACTAAGTCAGAGTTGGGTACAAATACAAACCTAGCAAACTGTACCCCATATGTGCTACCCCACTATAGCCTACAAACATGCATCAGCTATAATAATCTGACACACCCCCATAGGCAAAGTGGGGGAGAACAAGGGGTCACAAGACCAGTCAAGCAAAGCAAAGCAAAGCAAGCTCAGGGTGGATCACAAAGTCACCACACAGTCCGAGCACAAGAGCAGGGCCAGAGGCCAGTTCACATGCAGGAGGACAGACATATATATAAAACTAGACAAGCAGGAGCAGGTATATATATGACAAAGTACAAGTAAAGTCAAGAAGAGAGCAAGTGAGGCAAGACAGGTACAAGACCCAGCTGGGTACAAAAGCGCTGATGGTCACAAGGCGCAAGTGCCTTGGTGAACACATCAGCAGTGTTGGCCTCAGAGGCCACGTAAGCAAGTCGCAACTGACCACGCTGCTGCAGCTCACGAGCAAGGAAGTAGCGGAGAGCAATGTGTTTCGTTCTGTGCTCCAAGCGCTGCTCTCGACACAAGGCCAGCATGGCCTTGTTGTCTACGTACAGCACTGAGGAGAACGAGGCGGCTCTCCAAGGTCGGTCAGCAGGTAGGTGAGCCAGCGAAGCTCCTGTGCAGCCATGGCCCCGGCGTAGATCTCAGCCTCACAACTGGAGCCAAGAACCGAAGACGAGCGAGTAGACCGCCACGAGACAGAACCGGAACCAAGGCTGAAGGTGTAACCCTGTGACGACCGCTGCGTAGCCTGGTCGTCAGCCCAAGAAGCGTCCGCGTGGCCGGTAAGGACCACTGGACTCCGCCCTCCAAGCACTAGCCCCATGCCCGACGTACTGCACAGGTAGCGCAATACCCTCTTCGCTGCAGCCATGTGCTCCGGTCTGTGTCTCCCAGGAGCAACATAGCGTGCAAGAATGCTCAGAGGGTATGCAAGGTCAGGTCGTGTGCAGGTCATCAGGTACATGAGGCAGCCAACAAGCTCTGCATACGGACCACTCGACTCTACGGACTCATCCGAAGGCAGAGCTGAGAGTGAGTGGCGAGTAGGCAGAGGAGTGGCCTGAGGCGAGGAGTACGTGAAGCCGAAGCGCTGAAGGACCTGCTGCACCATGTGTGACTGAGTCAGGGTAATGGTGCGACGTGCTCTGTCCCGAGTGATCTGCAAGCCAAGGTAGCTGCGCAGTTCACCCAGGTCTGTGCACGTGTGTCTCTTCAGCAGCTCGGACTTCACGTAGGCGAGTCCAGCAGTGTCCGCTGTGGCAAAGACCAAGTCGTCGACGTACACGAGGATGTAGAACGGCGGCAGGGAAGTGTCGGTGCGAAGAAACAGCGACGGGTCAGCAGTAGAAGGAGCAAACCCAAGAGCCGCAAGCGTAGTCCTCAGTGTGTCGTGCCACTCACGCGGTGCCTGGCGGAGACCGTAGACTGGCCGTCGGAGGCTCCACTGGGTGCCAGGAGGGAAAGTCCCAGTGAAGCCAGGCGGACGGCGCAGCCAGATCTCCTCGTGCAGGCTACCCTGCAGGAACGCAGTGCTGAAGTCGAGGGAGTGAAGCTCGTAGTCGCGCTGAGCGGCAATGTGTAGCAGCACCCGAAGAGTGGTCATCTTCGGGGTGGGAGAGAAGGTCTGAAAGTAGTCAACCCCCTGCCGCTGACTGAAGCCACGAGCCACGTAACGCGCCTTGAAGACAGGCGGGGAGCCCGGCGGCCGCTTCACCCTGAAGATCCACATGCCACTGACGATGTTCGCCCCAGGAGGGGGAACCGTGTCAACGTAGGTGCCTGTGGACTTCCAGGAAGCCATCTCTGCATCCATAGCTGCCTGCCACTGAGAGGAGTAGGGACCCTCTACGGCCTCCGCGTAAGAACGCGGAGTCGGGATGTCTAGTGCATCCGGGTCTCCCTCAGGGGCAAGCAGTACAGACGCGAGATGAGGTGAAGCAGCCGCTAGACACTGTAACTCCTCCTGCCTGTCCTCTAGGACGTCCGTGCCAAGGGCACACTCACCCCCGACGGACGGAGGACAGGCGGACTCAGACGCAGCGACAAGACGAGCAGCGTAGTCTAGACGACAGCGCGCAGCAAAGTCGACAAGCTCAGTGACAAGGGCAGACGCAGCAGACGACTCAAAGGAAGGGTCAGTGACAGCAGTAGCAAGGAGACGCGTGACAGTAGGACTGGCAGCACGAAGAGAGTCCGACTCCGGGTCGGCAAGAGCAGGAAGAGAGGAAGCAGGAGGAGAAGGCAAAGGGGCACGCAGAGGAGCAGTGGACGGACGCAGTGACATCCGGTGCGTGCCAGGGACAGGAGGAGGACGCTGACGCGACCCGCGACCACTAGCGCGCTCAGTACGAACAGGCGACGCAGGACGAGACGCAGGCTCACGACGCTCAGTAAGACCTCCAGTCGGACCAGCGTAGGGAGAAGGAGCAGGCAAAGGGGAGGCAGGCTGTAGCTGTGGCTGTGACCGAACAGGCTGTGGACCCTCTAAGGAAGCAGGAGGAGGTGCAAGACCAAGAACCTGCTGGAGGAGCGGAACGAAGTACGGTCGAGGCCGCACGGCGACACCAGAAACAGCAGGAACAGCACCAGTCCCCCCGTCAGGAGCACCCACGCCAGCAGCACCTCCAGCAGCACCTCCAGAAGCTCCAGAACCCCCAGCAGCAGCACCAGGAGCACTGTCAGTCGGACCACCAGCGGCAGGCTCAGCGCCAACACCCTCAGCAGTACCAGCTCCAGGAGAGCTCTCAGACCGAGCAGCTCCAGCACCCACAGTACGAGCACCGTCGGGACGCGCGGCAGCAGTACCCACTGCAGGCGAAGAACCACCAGCACCAGCAGCACACCTCCAGCGCCTGGTAAACCACTCACGCAGCTCCTGTGGGGAGAGTGGCTCCCGGCGAGACGAAGCACCCCCAGGCTCAGCACCCCCAGGCTCAGCACCCCCAGGCACAGCACCCCCAGGCTCAGCACCCCCAGGCTCAGCACCCCCAGGCACAGCACCCCCA